GCACACACACACACACACACACACACTCACACAAACCGACATCGAGTTTGTTCTTACAATATGTACTACCTAGGACTTGCTGTTCCATACTTCAGCGTCAACGAAGCTGCTATGTGGGTGGTTGGCGGGTGCTCTGGTGTGGTTTGCTCGTCTTTCTTATTTTAAAAAAATCGTCTCTATCTCCCCTCCTTTTTTTGTGTTTGTTACTCTCTCGTAGCACCTCAAATCTTCGGCACTAATATGACTTTATTGTGTTGAAAGTGCCGTGAAACTCTTACTAAAACAAAAAAGAGAAGCGACTATGGATTCGCTAGTATGCAGTCCCAAACAATGACGTCATCATAATATTCTATTGAACAACTAAGGAGATTAATTAAATGTTTTTCTTCGCTCTTAATTCGATAAAAAAGATACACACGAACGTGTACATAGATCTTGCATTAGATCTACATTATTTATAGCCTACTACCACACACATACGCAGACGCCCACAAAAAATATGTATATATACAATCATATATAACGAGATGACGGCAAACTTTACCTGTTTCTCTTAAAATAAGTTAAAACAACACTTTCAAAACGAACACAAACGCCTTGTATTTGTCCCTTTGTCCCATTCTGTCAAACACAATGAACTCACTTCCGCCTGGTCGCTGTATGTGTCACGACGCGGTGGAATCAGGTGCTCTTCAATTGTTTAGCATATCGAGTTATTGGTCTCATCCTGAAGTCTGTTCATTTATCTTGCTTTCGATGAAAAATGTATCATTTATATTCAATAAGAAGTTGAGATATTTTGGATTGAGGCAGGTGGGGTCACTTGGATTCGATGTAACATTAGAGAGAAAGTGACCGCCAAAGTTTGGCGACTTCCAAAGCTTAAGAGAAATTCTAAACTGTACTTTTACATCTGTTTTACCTTTTATCAAGGTTTTTCAGTTATAGTAGCAAAAACAATGTCTTAAATCGGTATAAGAGGTGTTGATCCCCCCCCCCCCCAAAAAAATGCCATAAAAATTGTCAAACTATGAAAAGTGCCGTTTTCTTCGATTTCATTATTTTGACGAGCGCCTGATTTCACCGCGATGCCGCACATATACATTAAACACTCAGTTTGTAGAGGACATTGTACGTACACCTCGCTCTTTGTTTATCCGTCAGAACTCCCTCCTCTCTCCCCCTCTCCCCCTCCCTCCCCTACCATCCCCTCTTTCCTCTTTTTTATCTCCCGTGATCGACATGTTGTATTTTCCTAATCAGGTTTGTAACTGATGTAAAACATGGTCACGACCTTAAATGGCACGGAATAAAGAATGGATCATTTCCAAGATACAAACAAATTTTTTTTTTTCGGAGGGCGAGGGCTTGAAAATCAATTTATGACAGGGGTCTTTTTGTTATAATTTCGCAGAGGAGAATATGTGATTGGAAATGCATATTATGCAAGCAAAATTGAATATTATGTACGAACTAATGAAATCTAAAAGCAGTAATTTGAAATTCAGAAATCTCAGGAACGAATGCTTTCTCTGATTTCCTGGCTTATGTCTGCTCTCTATTTTCTATGTGTATTATTGTGTTTGTTCGTGTCTGGGTGGCTGTGATCTAGGTGACCGGGATTTTCTTCCCTACCCCAGTCAACCAACAAAAAACCCACCAGTTTGTGCGCACTTTTCGTCCTAAGTCTGTTTTTTATAATTATTAATCATGTCTAATCTGAAAGGGTGGGGTTTTTTTTGTTTGTTTGTTTGTTTGTTGTTGTTGGGTTTTTTTTGGTGTTTTTTTTTTGGG